TAATAGAAGCTAGAAGAGCATTGGAGCCCCTAGATCTGGAGTTACAGGCAGTGGTGAGCTGCTCAATGTAGAAGCAACCAGGGTGTGATTTCTGTCTCTTCAGCCAGAGCCACACCTAGAGGATAGGTGGGATTGACTGAATTAGGAAATCTGCCTTATAAAAGCTATGACTATGAGGAATTTTATGGAAATGCTGACAGGGAAGTTCAAATGCCAAGGATTTATGCAAAATGTATTTAAATACTGTGTTAAAATTAGGCTCATGTGTAACTTTTCTCATCACTCCCAGAGTGAAAACTTGAAGGAAGGAGGGAATTTTTTTCTCTTCAAATACTTGGCTCTAATATTGCATTCAAAAGATGGGGCGGCTGACAAATACATGTACAAGAGAGGAGGAAAAGACACAGCAGAACCTCATGTTGTGTTGCAAATCATAAATGCAACGCATAGAGGAAAACCCAGGTGTGTGCTTTCTGTGCTTCATGGTGGGTTGGCTGCAGCCTTCACAGCTGGTCCTGAAGCTCTACTGACAAAGAACCTTTCCAACAAGCAGCAACTTGATGGTGGCAGAGGAGTGGCTATAGAGAGAGTGAGGGTGGAGGGGTTCTTAGGGCCTGGGTTGGTTCCCTGGATTCGTCTGTACCTTGGGCTTCTTCTGCTCTACCGCTCTTTCTTTCCCCACACTTTGATGCATAAGAAGATCTTGTGATCGTTTTTAAATTTTCTCTTACCTTTGATTTTATAAATTAGCAGCATTTGGACACTCTCATGATTTCCTCACTGAAGGTCTTAAGTCTCTCTTCTAAACTTTTTGATTTTAGGATGTTCATTTCAGGTCAGTCTTGAGTGATCTAAGGTTCCTTATTAGTCCCAGACACTTAGATATTCATTGCAGAGGACACACCTCAAAGTGACATTGATGATGTATTTACACTTTGCTTGTATATGAAAGCCATCTGTAAACATGGTGCCTAGGATAAAGCTACGTTTTGAGTAAAGGTGTTTTATTATTACTATTGGTGCTGTTGTTTGTTTATTTAGTTCTTATTGTCTCTTCCACATGGGTGGAGTATCCCTTAACCTAAAGGATTAGAACCCAAAGTAGTTCAAATTAGTGTTTTAGTTTTCTACATGTTAGAGTGTTTGCATAACCTAATGAGATATTTGGTAGTGTAAATCTGAGCATGAATTTCTTTATGTTTCATTCTCACATATATCTTAAATATTTAGCCTTTGGATAATTTCATACAGCCATTTGAAATAAGCATGGGCATGAGCTTTCACAGGGGTGGAATTTTCCTTTTAGTATCTTGTCATTGCTTAAGAAGTTTCTGATGGGCTGGGCTGTGGTGGTGCACTCCTTTAATCTCAGCACTCTGGAAGCAGAGACTGGCAAATTTCTATGAGTTTGAGGCCAACCTGCTCCACAGAGAGAATTCCAGGACAGTCAGAGCTGTTGTTATATAGAGCAACCCTATCTCAAAACAAACAAGCAAAAACGTAGTTTCTGATCTTGGAGCATGGTGTCTTTCATATTTTAGGGTTAGGAATACTCAGATACTTTGGACCTGAAATATATGTGACTATTCATATGTCTGTGTCTGTTTATAGGCTGACAGGTGACTGTAATAACAATATTATATATAAGAGACTAACAGTCATATGTTACAAAACCTGTGATAATAAAAAAGAAATCTACAATGAACTTTTTGTTGGCAAGGATTTTCTCTTTGCCTATAGTCTATCCCAGTATTATTTACAAGAAATGAAAATATGAACCACACTATGGCTCAAATACATAGTTTGAAGTTTTTGATAACTACAGAATAAAAATAAATAAATAAATAAAAGACAACAATCCAGGTCAATTAATTTAACAGTGTCATATATTTAACAAGATTTAAACAAAATAATGGAGTCCTTTTCTTCTACCTATTTTTTTCTCTCTTCTTGCCCTGTGTCTCTGTTATACTCCCCCTAGGCACTTACCATCATATGTTTCACATTGCTGACCACTGCCTTTCATATCTCAGAGAGCTGGATCTGTGATCTCCAGCCTTCTGTAGTCTGTAGTCTGAACTGCAGCAAAAAAAAAAAAAAAAAGAGCCAGACTACTCAATGCAGATTGACATTTGCACAAAGGAAATACCCTTACATTTGAGCATAACAATTACTTTATTGTGTGATCCTGAGCCACTTTGGGCCATTCCTCATGCTTTGCATTAGGGGTTCTTTGAGATGCAATATGAAATCAGTAATAATTAAAATGATATGCTCTACTATTAACATTCTCAAATCTATAAAGCAATGTGATCTATGCCTGCAGTACTACCCATGCTGGCTAATTAAACAGCATACAGTTATAAATGGCTATTCTAGGCAGTTTTCTGTTCAAAATTAGAGAAATATGGCTTATGGTGTCAGGGATGCTAAACAACGAAAATGGCTTCATTCCATGTTGACAATAGAGCTTCTTGTAACAACTTGGGCTCCTGTTGGACAGCAGGTCAAGTGTGGGCACATGGGAACCCAACATCCATGCCTTGAGGACTGAGGTTGCAGGATGGTGTGCAGTATCGCCTCCTCTTTGTGATCTTTCCTTCTCCTTTAAGTCAGCATTCTTGAGGGACCAGGCAACAGTACCCAATGAGGAACACAGGCTGCACTCCACCTAGCAATCTATAATATGCAGTGATCAGCTCCCTAGGATTTGGGTGTGTAAAGTCAAAGACTTGGCTCCATCCCCTCTCCTCCTCCCTCCCCTCTTTGTCATTCACTCCTACAAATCAGAACTGAACTGCTTGCTTCCTGCACTTGTTTTCCAAGTCATTCCATTCAGTTTCACAGCCATCATAGATTCCTCCAGAACAGAACTTAAACTAGCTTTCCCTAGCCCTGGGAAGTTAGTGGAAGAATCTTAACTTTTTTTTTTAACATTCTCCATTTCTACATGCCAAACAGTCTGTAATGACCTTCATGTTGTCAACCATCATTGTCCCTTAAGAATGCATAAGGGGTCTGGCTATAACCACTGAGCCTGGCACCCAGTTGGTAAACTATGCCTGAGAGAATAAACGAGTAAATAAGGTACCACAAAAGTAAATAAATTCCCATCACTTTCTGGCATTCTCTATTGAGCCTTAAATTTGAATGTTGATGTGGCCAATATCGTAAAGCATAAAGCATGAAGTTTCTGCTTAATATTTCACAATGCTTCTTGTGCCCTCCATGGGTGTGTAACTGTCTGGGAGCTGTCATCATTGGGTTGACAACATCAGGACAGGATATGTCAGTTACCTGCAGCTGAGGAAAACATCAGGGTCAAGGTGGAAGTTCTAATGAAAATGCATCTAACCATTGTAAGTCAGGAACCTTGAGTTTCTGCATGGAATAAATGGAAGGAAATAGGTTACAGAAGTTAAGTCATCCAGTTAGGCCTGGTGATGTAGCTTGAAAGCCCATCTATGCTAGAGGATTAGGCAGAATGTCAAGGGTTCCCTGGACTAAAGCGTGAGCTCAAAGACAGCTTAGGCAACTTAGAAAGACTGACTCAAAACACAAAGTGGGAAATGGCCAGAGCAAATAGCTAGATAGTTGAGTGCTCACATAGCATATAGAAGCCATAAGATCTAATCCCTACTACTAAGCACACACAAACATGCAAAAAGATCAGCTGTTCTGTGTTATGATTTGCTTTCCTCACTATAACTAGAGGGCATTGAGAATAAAAGCCTTGCTGTCTCTAGAAACAACTCAGATCCGTGGGACAAGGATGTAATTGCTGAGAATAAAATGTAAGGATTTGCTCAGAATAATGACCCCTCTAGGCATCTAGGTGTCCAGAAATTCAGATATGAAAGCATCTGTCTGGCTTATCTAGGTTTGTATTATCCTTCTTGCTTTTCAATCTATTTAACTTACGTTCACCAATAGTGTCTTTTCTCTGAATAGTGTAATAAAAGAAAGCATAGACTCCCTGGAACATGACTCAGCAGAACTGCTTTGCACCTTGGGTGTGTTCAAATGCATGGAACACACTTTAGTGTCTTGACTTGCTCAAAGAAAAGATGAGCTGGTCACCAAACAGGTGCCCCATAGAAGGAAGATGAATCACAGTGATTAAATATATCAGGGTGATCATTTTGGACCAAAGTGGGGCAACCTGGAACTGCTCAAACAGCTCTCAGAGTCTGAATAATGGAGGATGACCCTGTATAGAAATGATAGTGAGTAGTGGTTTCCCTAGAACAGAGGTGCTCCCTGCCAGCTACTTTGTTCAGCCCAGCAAATAAAAATTCTAGGGTTCTTCTTCAGTTTTAGCCAGTCTGCTGCAGGTGGAAGCTTCTGTATAAAATAACCCTTGTGACTCCATAAGGAGGTGAAGATGCTCTCACTCACACATGAATGAAGAGTGGAACACACAGAAACAGAGAGGGGAACAGTGGTTGCAAAGAGCTATGGGTGTGAGAATTGGAGAGATGATCAAATGCACAAAGATTTATGGATATTTATAGTCGCACAGTGTACTGACTATAGTTAGTAACAAAATTAAAAATGACTAATAGTGGATGAAGTGATGGCTTGGCATTTTGGAGTGCATACTGCTTGTGCAAAGAATCTGCGTTGGATTCCCAGCACCAACTTTGAGTATCTCACAACTGCCTGTAACTCAAGCTCAGACACCAATTTCTGGCCTTCATTAGAACCTGCACTCACATGTTTAATATACACACAGACACATGCACACAAATAAAAATAACTATTTTTATAGTGGTTTTAAAAATTTAGATTAAGCGTTCCATTCAAAAAAAATGTTGTCAGAATATAAATGTCAGTAAGTTTGATTTTGTTACACAGAATGTTTTAAATCATGTATATAATTGTGTGTCAATTAAAAATAAAAGCTTTAAGTTTAAAAAAGGATAGAGTAATAACAAGAAAAAATAGTATTTAGAAGAATGAAGGAATGTTGAGCAACCCACTTGCTATTTTTAGGGACTGCTCTACATACTATGTTCATGGAACGAAATCAGTTTGTTCAGTTTTAGCAGACACACAAAACTGTGTCTGGTAATATTTTCATATACATATACATACACACATAAATTTGGGGTTAAATGACACATTTAGGTGACAGGCTCAGAGATTATGTCTTTTTTGGCATCAGACACTCTGTTTTCATACAGATCATTTTATACCATGATCAAATGAATATTCCATTTTTTGAAGTAAATATTTTGATATCATGACTATAAATTCAAAATAAAAAATATGTATGTGTCGTCATAATGCTCTAGCCCATGCTTAACTAATTATTTCCTGTGTAGAGCAAAACTTATACATTTTATTAAGATGGTCAGTTGTATTCCTTGCTTTTTAAGCAAGAACATTCATTTGAATGTATTCTAAATGGTTGTTTTTCTTTGTGTGGTTTGTTCTGACATGGTGCATACATACACCTAGCATGCACATTGTCAGCATCCACACTGATAGCTACTTTAAGGAAAATGCTAAGCTGCAAATTCTTTGCTGATCCAACCACCACACAACAAAAAGTATACAGACTGAAACTGGCAAAACAGAAATTATATTTCCAATGATTTTATTATTTACATTGCTGGTGCTATCCACTGACCTAGAAGGATAGAGCCTACTTCTTCCATTCAGCAGGCATAAAACTGACTTTACCCCTATAAATGCTTCCAAACATTATTAGCTCTGTCTGCATAAGAATGGGATCTCTAAACATTTATTAAACCCACTTGTATACATATTTCCAACCATGACTAAATGCACTGTATTTTTCTTAACAAAAGTCTAAAATGATCCTGCTGTATCATACTCATCACTGTCAACCTCAGTAAAAACAAATAGATGGAAATAATATAGAAGAGTGGACACAAACATGGGGCTTAACTTGTAGATGTTTGTTCCACAGTGGGGAATGCTGGAATAACTCACTTTCATAAGTGCACTGCTCCCTGAGAGATCCATGAAGCAAGTGATCTAATGTATTGTCACACCAAAATCGACCCAGTATCACTATTGTCTGAGGAATCATCCATCCACATTTATATTGAAGAGCTGGACTAAATATCTAATGAAATGACAGGTGCTTGCTTGCTCTTATCCAACTGGGATCTGAGGATCTTGTCAGTTGGGGACAGAATTCAGCTAACTAGACAACTTATGGATGTAAAAGACACATGCTGAAATGGTAAGTGAATTGAAGGACTACTAGGGAGCAAAAGATCAGAACATTATTGTGGTGATTGACCATTATGGTGATTGACAATGCTTTCAGGTCTAATATAAAGTCCAATCTCCATCAAACTCAGCCATCATGAAAGTATCCAGAAGCCCCGATGCGATGCCAAGTTCGCCTTTGCAGTCACAGCCCATGATTGCTCTGTATATGCTGCATTCCTTTGCCTTCAAATGACAAAATCATATTTCTGAGAGTATGAGCCACATCCTTAGATAACACATGCCCATGAAAGAATCATCAGAAAGCAAGTCATTTTGTGGGGATTTTTTTTTAACTGGGCACATTAATTATTTTTTCTAACTGGTCTATCTGTCTACTGCTTCTGAAACTTATCTGGAACTTTAAATAGAAAAAAGTCAAGGTTTAAAAAAGGTGAATAATTAGAGAAAAGACCACCGAGACAAACTGGCCTCCCAGGTCCAGGCTGGTGCCTTTTGTGGTGATGTATCCATGCTGGAGACCTAACAAGAAGACTTTTCACTGTCAAAAAGCACCTAATAGTCACTGCAGTCTGTACCTGCCTTATTGGCCTTTTCATAATACAGAAATGATGAGTGGATCATGGAGTTTTTCAATTCCTTTGTTATCTCAATATTTTCCTTTTCTCTTCAGGTCTCCATACAGAAAAGTTAGAACAGAAAAAATACTGAAGTAATTTAACCATGAGTACTTTCAGTAAGACTTGACAGTGGGCGCTCCAATGAAGCCAGGTGTTTGGATGCCTGCAATCTCTCTAGACTCTTACAGCCACTTGTGTAGTGGGTGTTCTCATCAGCCTTACTGTTCTGTAAAAATGCTGCTTCAAAGCCATGGAACATGAAGGTAACAATCTTCCAGAACAACCCTTTCACTGGAAGCTTATTTTTCCACATCCATGCATGAAGTTTCTGGCTATTTTGTTTATTTTCTTTAAATTAGAGATAACTGATAAAATCAGCCTTTTCTAAGTGTTTACCTAGATTGCCTCTGTATAATGATTGAAGCTTCAGATGTAATATTTTAAATTTTCTTGTGCTTTTGTGGCCTAGGCCTGCAGTAAGAGGGCCATTAGCTCCTTCTTACCCTATGTGTTTTCCTCCCCATACTGCCAAGTGTGTGAAGGAGAGAGAGAGAGAGAGAGAGAGACAGAGAGAGACAGAGAGAGACAGAGAGAGACAGAGAGAGAGAGAGAGAGACAGAGAGAGAGACAGAGACACAGAGAGACAGAGACAGAGACAGAGACACAGAGACAGAAACAGAGAGGGGGAGAGAGAGAAGCAGAGAGAAACAGAGAGAGGAACACACAGAGAGAGAGAGAGAGAGAGAGAGAGAGAGAGAGAAACAGAGAGAGAAACAGAGAGAGAAACAGAGAGACACAAGCAGAAGGATCTTACTGGGTTACACCAGCTCTCAGACTGTGTTGGTCTTGTGCAGCTTGGCAAGTATTTCATGAGTGTCTCAGAGTACCATTCCTCATGCTCTGTGAACAAATTGTGTATTCTCTTTCCCAGCACAGAGAAACTAACACCTGACATTTATCTTGTCATAGACTCTATCTGTCTCCTTTTCCTTCAAGACTGACTCTGAACCGCTACACTCAATAAGAAAACCCCACCACAATGTCCCTAACAGCTTACATTAGAGATGTCTTTGTTTCCATATATTCCACAGAAGCATTACATTCAGGCGTGTTTAGTCTACTGTCTCAGTCCTCCAAGAGACCTCTCTCGAGTGAGCTCTAAGATGACTTCAGACTGGGTACCTTATGCGAGTAGTCATTTTTAAGAGAAGGATCTATACTCATGGGACACAAGATGCAATCCAAAAATTATTTCTAACCTGTTTTCTATGACAGAGATAAATAATCAGAGTATCATGCCTGGTTGGTTTTCTTCAGCATTTTTGCTTTGGTATACATTCTTATTGCCTAGATTGTCCGATGCCATTGTCCCTTGCAGGATTCTATTGTTGTCTAAACATCATGAAAAAGTTATTAAAGGTTAAGTGGTTTTAGAAGTCATAGTACATTTTCTAGCTTTTGTCTGACAACTGGAACTGTGGTTTTTCAAGCATAATTCACTCATTTGAAAGCATCACTGGTTGGCCACTGTTACTTTCTTCTCAAAAATAATAGTGCAACATGTTGTGTCTTTAAAACTTTGAAAACAAACTAGTTAATACCAATAGCAAGTTAGTGTCAAAATCTGTGAGAGCTAGGATTCATAAAATGAAGAACTGTAGTCTTTGGGGGTTTAAAATCAATCATTAGCTTTTGTCATGTTCTTGAAGATACAGGTCCCACCAGTGTCATTACAAATGTAATTCTCTTTGCAAATTTTATAAAGCTTTGCATGCTCTTCTATAAGGCACCCGCACACAAAGACTAGCTCTACTAGGTTTCTAGTCCTATGGAGGCAATATAAGCATGTTTGGTTAATGTTGCATTTATGACATGTTTGCTAGTCTGAGACTGGAAGAGTGTTCAATGTTCAGAGCTATGTGCACACACAATATGTGCATGCAGGAGCCTTGGCACACACATCTCTTTTTATATAAAAAAGTAATGGGAATACTGGCCATTTTTGACAGCTTTAAAATGGACAACATAATGAAATTACTGTTGTCCCTTGCAATGTCAAAGAAGTGAGTTCCAGGACACTTTGAGGACGTTAATGAAATTATGTGCTCCATATAAATTGATTTGGTGTTTAGGTAGCATGTACAGGCCTGTGTTTATACTACATTCCTTATAGTACTCAGTACAGTGGAGGCTGCGTCAGTAGCAGTTAAATAGTAATAGGCAGTAAAATAATAAAGTTGTTATACTCTATTGTTTAGGGAAAAATAACATAAAATTGGCATATGTTCAATAGAAAAATCTACATTTGGTTTTAATCTAAAAAGAATAAACCACAGATACAGAATGCTGACTGCAAACAAAAGAAGCAAAACTAAATAAGGTTGGGAAGATCGAATGTCAGATGCCTTCTTGCCTTCAAGTACAACTAACAGTAGATAGAAACGTAAGCTAAGAGCAACTGTAAGGACATAGCCATGATCAAAGAGAAAAGGATGTATCTGGGTAAAAAAGACAAAGGAGAAAAGGGTAGAAGTGAAGAGATGTGTAATGGAGACAGTGACAACTAAGGTCTTATTCTTTGAAAGAAGATGAATACCAAGTCTGGCAAAATGGCTTAGTCACTAAGCCTTCGAGGGTGAAGGCACTTGCCACCAAGCCTGATGACCTCCTGAGTTTGAAGCCCAGAACAGACTCATGAAAATTGTCTTTTAACATCCACATATGTGCGATGGCATCATGGCTGCCCAGCAAAGAGTAGATAG